CTATGGAGTTGAATGAAAGAAGAACCTCTCTTGAGGGTCAACATTTTCAGAGGAAGTTCATAATGAGAAGAACTTGTTCAACCTTGCCTTAAATTTATCACATATGAAGCCAAATTAATAACCCCTCTTTTGAAAACCGGCATTTCCAGAAGTAGTTCATAATGAGAAGAACTCATTCGAAAAAGAAGAAGAAGTTCATAATGAGAAGAATTTGTTCAACTTTTTGCTAGGTTACATCACAGAAGGAGATAAATTGTCATCCACAGTGGAAAAGTTCATAATGAGAAGAACTAATCCCGAAGAAGAACTTGTTCAACATTTCCAAGTGAATTCAAATGAAAAAAAAAACTTATTGTCTTTTTATCTTTGCTCTATTCTCATTAACACAAGAATGAGCAAAGAGGGGCAGCTGAAGACACTAGTTTTTTTCCATTTGATTATTATTTATAGTATTTATTATTATTATTATTATTATTATTATTATTATTATTATTATTATTTACATCACAGGCCCAAAACCAAACTGGCCCAGTTACAAAATATAACCAGACCCGAAGACCCGTTTTACAAATCCCGGAGGCCCAGACCCAAAACCCGAAAGCCCAGATCCAGAACCGACCCAACACCCATCTAGGGTTTTTTACATCATCTCAGCCACCAACAATCTCAGTCGTTGGATCTAAAGAGATCCAACAGTCCAAAGAAGATCCAGCAGAAACCCTAGGGTTGGTGAACCCTAGGGTCTATTCCGGCGCTGCCTTCAACCACTCCAACTACTCCGCCACTTTTACGCCAACTGCTCCGCCGTCATATTCCCCAGTTGTCTTCTGACACGCCACCAAATCCTCTAGAAGACTCAAGGAGAGCCGCATACATCACAATCCGGTGACTCGCCGAGGACCCTCCTGTGATAGATCCACCGAGGAGAACCTCAACCCTATAAAAGGACTTGATTTACCTGCAAAGAAGAGAGGAACACGAGGAGAAAGAGAGTGCAACCAACAAAAACGAGAGGAAAAAAAGGAAACAAGAAAAAAAAACCACAACAGCCAAATATTAAACCAAAAGAAAAAGGAAAAAGAAAGAGACTTACCACATCATCAGAGTTCTTCAAAGTTCACCGGAAACCGAAACGTCGTATGGTAAAAAATTATAGATCTACTTAAATCAAGAGCTTTTTAGGGGAAATAAAGGTTAGATTTGACATTAGGGGTTTTAGATCTTTAATTTGGGTAATTAAGGAAAATTTGGCCACCGTGTGCGGTGGCCGGTGGTGGATGGAATCGCCGGCGAGTGGTGGCTGTCGGTGGACGATTTCCATCCGACGAGGGAAACTTAGAGAGAAGTCATAGCTTCTCTCTCTACTGAAAGAGGAAAATAAGAAGAAATGGGGCCGGTTACAAGGTATTTATACCCTCACCAAAACGACACTGTTTTGGTGAGGGGTGTTTGTGTAAATTCGTAACGGGCAAACTATCTCCGCAGTTCTCCTAAGTTCTGTAATCTTATATTTTAGTCATTAAAATCAATTTCTGTTATTTTAATTTAGTATTAAATTTTATTTTATTACTTTTTAATCCTTACTAACATGTTCATCTATTTTAAGATAAATACCATATTTAGTCCTTTAATTTTAATAATTTTTATTTTAATCATGTATAATTATTTATAGTTAAATTACATTAATAATACTTATATTTAATAATAATTCAAATTAGGACTATTAATTTAAATATTTTATATTTTATATTTTAATCTTATAATTTTAATTATTTTTATTATTACCCTTTAGTTTTAATATTTTTAATTTAATATTTTTTATCCCCTATAAGTTTAATTATTTTTATTTTTTTATCTCTTATAATTGATTATGATTAATACCTATATTAAATGATTTGTTATGGATGTTAGGTGATAATAATTATATTATATAAATATATAATTTTAAAATCAACATGTGAATAGTATGTTATTAAAGCTATTCAACAATTATTGACTTTTAAGTCTCACGCACATGTAGTGCTTCAAAAATAGACTTTGTAAAAAAATAATAAACTGTGTAGTAATGTCTGTTTTATTATAGGAGTAATAGAGCAGTAGGATTTTGTAATATTATATGCGATTTTTCATTTTAGGCCTATTTTTCCATTATTTTAATATATATATGATTTTATAATATAAAGTCAACGTGGGAGCAGACTTCAATTCAAATTTTTTTTATTATTATTATTTTTAAATATTAGTCCTTAATTTTTTTTTTTACAGTTGGACAAAAGTTACTATTTAACTGAAAATCAATGCTTTTTGCTAATTAATTTAATCGATTATATATTTAATTAATTAATAATATTTATTTATTTTTAAATATTAAGAAAGGAGCTATCTTAAAACAACTAGAAGTTCTTTTCTGATATTTCTAAGTAAATAAATATTTTATTTATAAAAACTTAAATATATATATATATATATATTAAATATATATATTAATATATTTTCTTAAAATTATATTAATAAATTTGAAATAACAGGATTATGAATTAAATATATTTTTAAATTCTTAAATTTCTAATAATAGAGACAATTTATAATTAATGAATATCAATTTTAGGCGTTATAGGGTGTTAATCCTTCTCTAAACGTAACCGACCACGAATCCCTTCTTTATTAATTTTTTTTTGTTATAGGCAGATCAGTTTATCTTTTAAATTATGTTTTCTTAAAAACTATTTTAAAAAATTATTTTTAGGTATTTGATCTATCTAACTCAAAAAGATCAATGGCGACTCCAAAATATTTTAAAAAAAATAAAAATCATTTATTTATTCATTTTATTTTTTCCGTCAAGTAAAATTTCGTGCCCGGACGAAAACCGGTTACGACAATATGAATTTTAATCCAATAATTTTCACTGCAAAACTTGAGTTTGGTTTTGTTCTACACCGAGCTCTGTCTCTACACATATTACCTACTACTTGTGGGCAGTTTATAGTAAACATCCCAAATTACCAAAAGATTTCAGAACCTAAAACAGTTAAAAAAAACCCGTGAGAGCGCTGCATTTCAGCTTCAAGTGTGCACCTGTGGAGTAAATTTGCAGATCCCAAGCTCCCTATAACAGCAACCGACATGTTTCAAGGATACCATATCAAAAAAACCAGATTCTTCTCGCATGTTTTGTAAAAGAGGGTTTAGGATTTTTATACCATTGTCCACCGTTGAAACCATAGATACAAAGACAACAATTTGTTTATGCTTGTCCTCCATTCTGTTATTCACCCTTTTTCCATGTTGACTGTGATGGTTGTGAGGGAAAGTTGTCCAGTGTTGTGCAGAAAGCACAGGTGTGCAGAGTTTGGGTTCATATTCCTTTGAATGAATGAACAAAGATGCAGCAGTTTCTGCAAGTGGTTTGAAAAAGCGTTGCTTTCTTAGACAACATGAAACAGGCTCGTCCCAAATGACACGAAGATACTTCACTATTTTAAAAATAAAACCCTTAAAACATTTTATAATTAAAATTAATTTGTTAAATTTAAAATTACGAAGAATTTTTAATAGTTCTTTTATCTATATTTATCATAAAAAATAATTAAAGATATTATAATAATATTCATTTATTACTTTCTCTGTTATTTTTCGAGAATCAGTGGAAAAAACTTATTTTCCATTCCAATGTAAATATCATTATAGCACAAATATTATATATGAACGGATCTAAATAACATTCATGCGAGGAATCCTTAAATTTTGAAACTGTGTTATATATTTGTTATTGGACGTGTCTGAAATATGAGGGTTCAATAGAATCATGCCACGTGGACACTAGGCTCCAATTGCCATCCTCAAACCATCTCTGCTGCACCATAAATCACCCTCTCTCTACTAGGTTATATTCTCTCTAATCTATAAATCACACTCTCTCTACTAGGTTATATTCTCTCTAATCTATATTGTTAGGCCACCGCAGGCCAAAAGTCTAGGAGTTAGGCGACCGTGAGACTCATATGGACGTGTATGGGATTCAACCCGACTTAATTTTATACCGTTGATTTTTTTTTTTAAAAAAATAAACTCGGATCGGGTCTAGATTTATAATAAAAATTTCACAATTCAACTTATCTCTTATATATTTAAATATAATTATAATAATACACATCTATTTACAACTTTTTAAATAAATTTTACTTTATAAGATAAAATAAAAAATTATATATATATATATATATATATAGTATGAAATCTCTCTAAACCCAAATTGACCGGTAAAGAAATATAATACTAAATTCAGATTCAAATAACTGAAAACCCATCTAATGCAACCCATGTACAAACCTAAACCCAACACAATAGTAAAAAACAACTGGCTATAAATAAACCCCCAATTCATAGCTTTCAGCTTTAACGTTGCAAATTCAGTGACAAATTAACGATGTAAATTCAGGAAATTACTTTAGGGGCTAGAATCAAATTATAAATTTCTTAAATATCAAAAAAGAGTTCATCACTACTTTAATTTATAATTATACAAGTTTTAGATAAAATGATTAATTGGCCCCTTTAACTCTACTAGTTTGTCAGTTTAGTCCTAGTTATTAAAATGTTGACATTAGTTATTTAAATATATATAGGAAGAGAAGTTCATGTCAACGCTCCAATAGGAGTAAATGAAGTAATTTTTATTTTTATTTCCGAATGAAGTAACAGAAAAAAGATGACATTAGTTTAAAAACATGAGTAATTAGCATTCTTGTTTAAGATTATTTATATAAGCCGGCCACCTTCAATATTCCAAATTTTAGAGCAAACACCACAACAACAATATTTGATTCGGTGCTTTAAAAGTTTGCAAAAATGGAGGGCCAAAAATCCCCATTCTTACACATATTTAGTCGCCATTTTATGCATTTTCTTATATTCCTTTGTCGTCTTCCCCACTTATAAATACATTGAAAAAGTGGCATCTGACCATCAAACCCCACTTCCTCTAGGACTAGGAGCACCAGGAATCGCAGTTCAAGTGATGGAGCAGAGTGGTTTGCAACGGTCCACCACGTCGTTCAGGCGACAAGGGTCCTCGGGGTTGATATGGGACGACAAGTTTTTATCAGGAGACCTGAACCAAATGAAACTCAACAATGAACGTAGCCGATCCAACGGAGGCGACGGGAACATGTACCGGCCGATGATGAAGGCGCCGCCGCCTAGCTTCGATCCTCCTTCACCTAGGGTCTCAGGTTGTGGATTTTGTGGGGGTTTTTGGTAAACCGGAAGGAGCAAAGAAGAGAAGATCAAACAAATGTAAGTATTGAGCATGTACAACATATAGCTTGTGTGCTATGGGGTATATGGAGATTCCATTTATGTGTGTGTTTACTTTATTTATTTTGGTGTTAAATTTCCACATAGTGCATTGAAAATGTGTGTCTGAGAGGGCACAAGCCTCAAACTATGTGTTTCTTGTGATCTCATTAGATGTAGAGATTGATTTCTTTTATTTTTCCAAGAGTTCTCCATTATTTCCTTTGTAATGTAATTTGGGTATTAAAGGATAAAAAAGAAAAATATATAATATTATTCGATATTTTTTTAAATATGATAAATGAAATCCATGATCACTTAACTAAGAAAGATTCTAATATAATCATCGATCTTTTACTTTTATCAATAAGATCATTTAATTATTTAAATGACATTAGTCAAACCACCTCTGTGACCATTTGTTAACAGCGAGTAACCGATTTATTATAAATAGATAACATTAGTGATCAAGCTTGGTAATTTTTTTAATTTTAGTGGGAAAATGAAAACTTACTCAAACATTAGCGACCATTTATATAATTTACTCACAGAACTTTAATCGCATAAATCAAAGGGTAAACTACACATTTAGTATATAAGTTATTATTTTTGCTCTATTTTGGTACTCAAACTTTATTTTTTTAAAACATACCTAACATTTAGTTTAGGTTTCAATTTGATACTCGTCAATTTAAAAATTAACAAAACTGCTGATGTGAAATTTTTTATTTTTCAATGATGACTTGAGATTACCTTATGGTGACACGCCAACGTTAAGTTTTTAATTTCGGGTACCAAAATAAAACCTAACTTAAATTTCAGATATGATTTTAAAAAAATAAAATTTAGGTATCAAAACAGAACAAAAATAATAGTTTATATACTAAACGTATAATTTAACCTAAAACAAATAATCAATTATTTTTTAATTAGGCCAAATCTCAAACCAGAGCAATTGGGCCGGGGGTTGTTTCAAAAATTTTCCCTCAGATTTTCCCGGGAAAATTAAATATGGACGGAAATCTAGAGATCTCCTTCGCTAAACTTCCCGTTAATCGCCTCGACGCCATCGAAGACCCTCCGTAAGCTTCTCTCTCTGATCAAGTTCTTCTTTGTTTCCTTACTGATACGTGCTGATGTCTTTTTTTTTTTTTTGCTATTGAATTACTTAACTATATAGAGATTCGAGCTACGATGAGAAGCGGGCGTCGCTTATACGGAGAATAGACTTATCGTGGGCAGTGAAGGACGACGAAGAAAGGGGGAGGAAGAAGAAGAAGAAGAACTCCAAAGTTGCCTCCTACACGTGGCAGTGGCAGAGCATGGTTGAGAATTTCCAGGAGCTCTGCGTCATCATCGACCTTATCAACGCTGTAAGTTCCCCAGCTTTTGATTGTATACTTTGGCTTCTTTTCATTGCTGCGTTTGCAACTGAACTTCTTTCTTTTAGTTCTCCAAAGTAAAATTGCATCTGATTAAAAATTCTAGTAAATATGAAAAATGAACATCTGTTACATACAGAGTAAAACCATGTATATCGTGTACGAATGTTTGAATTTCAGAATCACCAACACTCTATGCAGAAGTGTTGGATACATGTCCGAATCACCAAAAAAAGAAAAAATGGATTAAGACACAGCTAGGAACATGATAAAAGGGTTTTTCTCCACCTTTTTTTTTCCAGAACTAAATGGAAAATGAATAAAAAACACGTCTGAAGGAAGTGAACTGCTTGAAATCCATAAAGAAAAATAAAACAGAATGGAGTAGAAAGCAAGGTATCAACTTGAATAGCTTACAAGGACAGAACAAAAGAGAAAGAAGATAGAGGTAAACCAAATGATACAAATATGAAAAGAATTCTCTTGTTGAGCAAAATGCTATTATTATGTTAATATTTGATCAAAGAGTATCATTCCTACATTTTTAATTTATATATTTTGTTGCAGTATATGTGTCTTAATTTTATAGAAATTCCTGTATCACTATGTCCATGTAGTGTTCTACCTTTATTGTGTATCCATATTCGTGTTCCCTAGGTGCCCCCTTATTGTCATGACACTATCTTTATCCTCGATTGAACGAATTCTCAAGGTAAAAGAGCATGAGAAGACATTCACTCCAGTAAGTGAATTGACAATCTATAATTGAAGCTGCCATTTATTTTATTTGTCTGGCTAGGTTTTGTTTTTTCCTTTCATGTAGTAAGATAAAGGGTGAATAATGTCTGCTTTGAATGGTAAGTGCCCAGTCATTTGTACATAACGTTTTTTTTCTTTTTTCCTTCGAAAGGTGGAAGCTAATTATGCTGTAACAGTCGCTGGCATGACCAGGCCTAAACCTGAGCTCCTGTCTGATCTTGCTGTATCTATTCTGCTGCAACCAAAAACTACAATCTTACCTGGTATTGTTCTTCTTCTTCTGGTGAATAGAAGTGATTATCGTAAGTTCGTAACTCTTTGGTTGAATATAAGTTTGAGTAGTGTGACAAGTTTGGTGATAATTGCTATTGAAAATATGCTTAATTGTCAAGGTACCAAATCTTTTTTCTTTAATTTACTGTTGAACTTTACTTCTATGATGCTGCAATTGGGTAAATAGTTTAAACAGTCTGCCAAAGCTTTTGAAGAGCAGATTGCCCGGGAAGCAAGATTTTATGGTGTTCTATTAAGGTATACCTCTACATTTGTTTAAAAGAGTATATATTCTGAAAGTATAGGCCAAGGAAACACTCTTTTCACATCCTTTATGCAATAAAATAATCAGGACAGTGCTGATACCCAGAATTTAGAATCTGCAATTGTGCCATTTGATACTAAAAAGAAATGGGTTTTCCCTAATCGTACTAGTTGTGAAATTTATCTGCTGTAAAATGTTGAACATGCATTTGTCAAAATTTTGATGAACATGCATTTGTAAAGGAAAAGGATAAACCAAATGTATCTGGTCAATCAGGAAAGGATGGACCTGGACTTGATTAAGATTTCAAGGTCAGTTCACTTTCATTTCGTTTTCTATTTCACCAAATTAAAACATGTCACTTTCATCCCAGACAAACAACAGGTAAGAGTGGGCTAAAAGTATATGTAGGATGGTCATGTTTTAGGTTGGTTTTCGGTTCACCTAGACTTTACCTGAAAATTAAATCTCTTCGTTTGATTTGATTCATTCCGAGTTTAAGAGGATTTCATTTGATCTTCAATCATACCCAACTTTTAGGTGAAAACCTGCACTTTTATGCAATCTGATTCGATATAAATATAATTATAATTGTTTTATTTTTATTAGGTCAAATAGAAATTTAATTGAAAAGATAATATAGAGAATCTCTAAACATATGGATAATCATAATGTTATATCAGGTCGGGCCAAAGTTTTTTTTATTATAAACTCGAACTCGACTCATTTTTTTGAAAAGAATCTAATTTGATTCTAATCTGTTTTTTTAAATAAAATAAAAACAATTGTCGGAGTCTGTGGGATCAAATATTCTTTCTTTTCATGTGCTTTGCAACTGAATTAATGGTATGGACATGTTTAATTTTGTTTCTGGCATTGACAAGAAATGGATGAATGAATTGGAAATGATTTAAAAGCATGTGGTTTGCAACAACTGTACCCCCAACTTACCCAAATTACTTAATTCATTACCAACTATGATTAATAAAAAAATCTGATCCAATTTCCAGCTCACAAATACCCATTAATATGTCAGTTGGAATTGAAAGATAAACACGTGTGTGTTTAGAGGAGTGGCGGCCAAGTAAGTATTCATTCCTCCACCAATCTTGAATTTTAAGTGGATAAGTCTTATGTGACAGTTTAATATACGACTAAAGAAAATATATTATCGAAAATGTTATTATTTTTTTAATATTTTTGATAAAATATTATTTAAAATATTATTTTTTTTACCAAAAATATTAATATTAGATATTACCTGTCGCAATCGTCTTTCGGTTGGATCCCGGAATTGGGTTTCGACTTAGGAAAATGGATTGGAGTCGCCACCGATCATTTATTTAAAAATAAATGGGTTGATCGGATACCCTATTTCTTACTGATCTGCGTCTTACCAAAAATATGTCGGGCTCGGGAGTCGGTTACGATCAAGGAAGGATTAACACCCTTGAACCGCCCTTTCGGTACCAATTAATTTTTCAGTTGTCTTTAATTGTGAAAATTGAAAATTGAAAATTAGAATTTAAAAATCCGATTCGAATTACTCACCTTTGATCAGTTGAAATTTATATACAAAGTTAAAAATGTTAGAGGGAATAAATAAGTAAATATATAAATAAATACTAAATAAATCAAAATAAAAAATAATTTTAAAAAAATGTTTAAAAATAATAATAAATAAACAAATAAATAAAAACAAATCAAAGAGAAAAATAAAATAAAATATAATAATAATAACAAAATGTTAATATATATATATATAAATAAAAAATAAGAGGTAAAGAATAATAAACATATATATATGGAGAAAAAATACAAAAAAAACATATATACGAATATTGTGAATAAAAATAAATAAAAAGTCAAAATAAATAAATAAATAAAAAGGGACCAAAATGAATGTAATTCAAGATGAAATGATTACACCAGGGATTAATCCCTTAAAATCCAAAAATATGTTACCTTACACATGAGTCAAGCTCGTGGGCCCCTTATAAAATATAATTTAAAGGGTTTTTGCCCTTGCCTTCGATTTGCACAACATTGTTCCTTTTAAACTCAAATACAGGAAACAAAATTTGGAAATCTTAGCCTTTTTCACCTTTGATCGCATGAGATTGAACCGTTGGATCATGGTGAACTTCGATTATGTAGTTTCTCTTATCGTCTTCTATTGCTTGATCGTTTGGAATAATCAAACGAGCCTTCAATCGTCGGAAAACGCCCAAAGTCGAAAGGTAAGTTTCTCCATTTCTCTTATTTTTCTGTTTTGCCTTTTCGGTTGCTGGCCTCTTTCTTCGTAGGTTTCTTCATATGTTTCCACCTCTTGCTCATCGCTAGTCATGGGTTCTTTTGTGGTGGGTTTTGGTTGTACTGGAAAACGGGGCTACGGTGTTGTGAGTGTTTATGTGTTGTTGAATGTGTTAGCTAAGTTTGGGAATGGAAGCTTGATGATTAAGACTGACGCAAGGGTATACTATTTGGTAATATCGAGCCATGGCCGAGAGGCCATGACACCACTCTCCTCCCTCTCTAATGGTGTTGATTACCCATGTATTTATAGCTTAAAATTCCTATTTTAGACTTCAGTTTTTGAGTCATAATTGAACTGAACTTCTGTTTCTTGGTTATGGATGTGTCCTAGGTACCCACGTTGTTGATGGAGTAACGTTTGCCGGAAGAATCGGAGAGGAAGGCGTGAGGTGACGTGATACACATGGAGTCTTGGAGATGCGGCTGGACGTGTGGCTGGGTCTGTTGCACACTTGGCCTGGTGGATTTTGGTTCATCATTGGGCCTGTAAAAAAAAGGAAAATATGTAAATTACATATATTATATAATATATACATTATAGGGACGGAAATTAGTGTCTACAGCTGCCCCTCTTTGTCCTTTTTCGTGTAACGAAAAATAGGGCAAAGATTAAAAGACATAAATTTCGGTCATATCGAATATTCTCTGTCGTAGAATTGAAATCCGATATGGAAATTGGTTTGTCAATACGAAATGACCCCCTCGTCGTGAGGTTGAGTCAAAACTAGAAAATTCTGAGCCTGGATCCTTCATCGTGAAGTTGAAATCGAACTCAGAGTATTGGAAGTAGCTCATGGATTGTCTTCTAGCCAAAGATACTTTGTTATGAAGCTGAAACTCGACTTGAAGACTTTGGTGTTGTGGTGTTACAAATGACTCCTTCGTCGTGAAGTTGGGTCCATCTGTTAGGGTATGATGCCCTTTGCTGTGAAGTTGTGTATGTATATGGCCCTTTCGTCGTGAAGTTGAACCTGAGAATTGGATATCCTTCGTTGTGAAGTTGAAATCCAAGTATTGTTTCGAGTCCAATATCATTCGTTGTGAAGTTGAAATTGGCTCTGAAATTGGGAAGTTGTTTGTTGACAACCAGCGGTCCCTTCGTCGTGAAGTTGAACTTGCGTTGTCTGGAGTCCAATATCCTTCGTTGTGAAGTTGAAATTGGCTCTGAAATTGAGAAGTTGTTTGTTGAAAACCAGCGGTCCCTTCGTCGTGAAGTTGAACTTGCGTTGTCTGGAGTCCAATATCCTTCGCTGTGAAGTTGAAATTGGCTCCGAAATTGGGAAGTTGTTTTTTTGACAACCAGCGGTTCCTTCGTCGTGAAGTTGAACTTGCGTTGTCTTGAGTCCAATATCCTTCGCTGTGAAGTTGAAATTGGCTCTGAAATTGGGAAATTGTTTATTGACAACCAGCAGTCCCTTCGTCGTGAAGTTGAACTTGCGTTGTCTGGAGTCCAATATCCTTCGTTGTGAAGTTGAAATTGGCTCTGAAATTGGGAAATTG